TATGCATTTCATCAACCCCATAGGATAACTGATGAGTTAACTCAGAGAGGGGATGCCACTCTTTCCTGATCTGCTAAAAGGCTCGCGAGGCAGTCAGCTACAATCGAGGGTTAAAATGGAACCTGAGGATTATCTGAGGGTTTCAATTATCCTCGTTACCCTCATTCTATCTTGCTCAGAGTTGAGAATTGGCTGTGTCAAGACTAAGTTGACACACATCACAGAAGCTATACAGCAGTCTATCTGCTCATTAAGAGTTTTTTACTATGTCCCACTGATCTTCCACTTCTCGCAATGCTTTTGATGTGGGTTTAATTCTAAGTTCTGACAGAGAGAGGGTCTCACATCTGCGGTTCCCAATGCAATCTTCACATGACTGTCAAAAATGCAACTATTTGTCCCCAGGCTTAAAATGCCAGCTCTAAAAAAGGTCAAGGACTCTCCCTGGGAGCATCTACAACATTTCAAGCATATATTTAAAGTCTTCATTTTATCTCAAACTTTCCTCCAATCTAATGTTAATTTGGATATCAGATTCTCATGGTCCAATCTGTGCTTAGGATGTTCCAAAAACAGATAGGAATAACTCAGTTCTCATTTGCTTTCCAAGACCACAAGTCTACCTGCTGTGTAATAGAAACTCTGCTAGGCCACATTTAAACCCAAGAAATGTAACGAACGGTTCACCTTAATAAAAGTCACTTTTCTTATCTCTATATGTAACTCTTAGAGTTATTTCATTTCTCCATTCTCAATAGTCTATGGTTAAAGGAGAAAGATGAATAAAATCTTTGCCAAGCAATAAAAAAGCAAGCTCCCCTCATTAATTATCTCAAAAATAAAATGTTGGGTTTTTTTTTTACATACAGCCTAGTTTTGCTTTGTTTTTATTAAACAAAATTGCTGTATATAATATTTTTATACATATGCTCTTAGAAATGATAAAATTCTCAATCTTTAATTGCTTTAAGAATTGGGAGTCTCCTTGAAATTCAGAATTTCTCTATAAACAACTTTTATATTTACTGGAAACATCACTAACTAATTTACCCTAACAAGACTTTTGTGAAATGGGTCATGATTTTTCGTGATTTAGAGCAACCTGGTAACTTGGCAAATTGTGTTTTGAGAATTCTCTAGGAGATCTGCAATTTTGATTATTGTGCTTATGTGCAATTCATAATGCATTTGCCTCTTCTCCTTTTCTTTTAAACTGCTAAGTTTGGGAATAAAGGATATTGTATCATTTATTAGGCCCTAAGATGAGCTATAATTGCACAGAACTGGCAATTTGAAAGTGTGTAGTTTTAGGGTCACCAAAAGTGGCTCAAATCCTGGACATGCCACTAATGTTGTGCTGTTTTATATGCACTTTGTAGGATAACTGAAGGTTCCTATGAAGAGAAGCACATTCATATCTCTATAGTTTATCACCTGTGTTTAAAATGTACTAACATGTTCTAAGCAAAGGATAGCTACTGTCACTGTACCTGTGAAGCAAGTAGACTGTGACTACTTTTTGATAATTCTGCAAACAATTAGTTAACCACTTCCAAAGAGGCTGATGAGCTTAAATTACAATTCTAGGTAATGAAATTTTTACTCCAAATGTATGGTAGGGCAAGAACACCTATGATTATTTCCATGAAAAGATAAATAATTTAAACATTTTGTGGAAGAGACTTAGAAAAAAAGAAGCAGCTATAACTTAGCATAGGGAGGAGACCAGAAAATTGGATCATAGCCCCAGCTTTGTCAATAAATAGTCTTTTAACCTTGAGCATATAAAACAACAACAAGAACAACAAGTTTTTGGGTTTGGTTTCCTCCCCTTTTAAAAGAACTTGAATTTAAATGAGCTCTGGATTCACATGGCCTTTTAGTACTATGGTACAAGTATTGGTATACTCAGTGTAGCAATTAAACACATGTGCTTCAAGTCTCTGCCAGTTTAAATTCTCACTCTTCAACATGCTCTCTGTGAACTTCCATGAGTTACTTAACTTTCCAAGGACATGTTCCCAAGGACAGGTAAATTTAGTGGTATACTTACTCACAGGGACACAGGAGAGGATTATGTGCATCTCGTTCTGTAGTTTAAACTGCCAATATAGGTTCACTAATTGCAATAACATTACCACTCTGGTGGGGAATAGTGACAAGTGGATTGGGGGGAGGCTGTGCATGTGGAGGCAGGGGTATATGGGAGCTATCTGAACTTTCCACTCTATTTTACTGTGAACTTGACATTAAAAAAAAAGAAACAATTTGGTGTATTAATGGATGAGTGAAGGAATGAACAGATTTAGCCAGTTATCTCATTCCCATGGTTCCCCTTGCTCTTAACGTAAAATCCAAACTCTTCCATACCAGGAGAAGCTCACATGATCAAGCTCTTGCCGACTTTTTCCTTTTCCTACTCACTAAACTACAGTGATTTGGGCCTTGATTTCTCTCGAAGCATCCATTTCAGTTTGGGGACCTATGTGCTTTCTCATTAGAAAATTTTTCTGGATTCAATTTGACTCTTTCTCTCAATGTTTGGGTTGTATCTTAAATATTGCCTAGTTTGAGAATCTTTCCTAATCATTAAAACAAAAATACCCCCCACTCTCCAGTTTAAACTGGCTCCCTCCCATCTTTTTATTTCATTAATATGTGAAATAATCAAAATTTGTGTTTTTCCTTTCTTTTCCTACTGTCTTACTGACTAGATGGCAAGTCCCAGGAAAGCAGGGACATTTTATTCTTTTGGATTCTTTCCACACTTTATTTATTTATTCCCTAATTTCCCTATAAAACTTAAATCAGCACAAGGTCTATATTTATTTCTAAAAATGGGTTTATTAAGCTTTAGCAAAAAAAAATCTTGTTAAAGATTTTGTACCTCCTAAGGTTTTTTTGTTTTTGTTTTTGTTTTTGTTTTTTTTTACAAACAAGTAAAGAAAGCTAATTATAGACATGTACACACCTTTGAAATATTTTTACCATAAAATTTTCACAAATGCTTGAAACTCTTTTGTATATGAAGCAGTAAAAAGAAAGGCAGAGTGAAGTATTTGGTTTCATGCCATTCTAAAGAGTAGTTTTGCTCCTGAAAATACAATTTTGAATAATAGAATCTGAAGTACATATGGCAGTGTAGTTAGGTAGGTTTTTCCATTAATTATGTAATTTAGAAGAAGATTTTATCTGTCCCTAGTTTGGATTAAACACTGGTATATAAAAATTAGCCAATTTCTCCCCTTACATAGCCTCTAGTCTGAGAAAGGGATTTCCATGCCTAATTCTTCATAAAGTTGAAAGTTTTTCTTCCTTCTTGCTATCATTTTATATTTGTTTATGTCCATATCTTCATGTAAGTTTCCAAAACATAAAGGCATAACCTGATGTAGAAACTTTTTCAATGTAGCATGCCCTCTCCTATTTTTTTTTCCTTTGAGATAATCACATAATCTCTTAGGAATTTGCTTTCTATATGCACAATTGGAAAATTATTATTCTTCCTTTCAATTCAGGAATTTTGGAAACAGTAGCACAATAAGAACATATAGAGTAGGAAAAAGCCACAGTAAGATAAAAGCTGAGACAATCTTGCCTTTCTGGAACAATCTTCCTTAGATCTTCTTTTTCAAAATTTATTTATTTGTTCTAATTTGTTATATATGACAGCAGAATGCATTTCAGTTTATTTTTCATTTCTCTGGTTTTCATTTATTTGTACACAAAGCAGAGTCACACAATTGGTGTCTTCATACATGTACCTAGGGTAATGATGTCCATCTTCATTTCACCATCTTTCCTATGCCCATGCCCCACCCCTTCCCTTCTCCTCCCTCCCTCCTTGCCCTATCCAAAGTTCCTCTATTCTTCCCATGCTCCCCATCACCACCCCATTATGGATCAGCATCCACTTATCAGAAAACATTTTCTCTGATAGATCTTCCTTTTAATCCAAACGATCCACTCATCTGATTGCCAGTTTTTCCTATTACTTTATTGCTGATAATCTTTCAAAGCAGTTGTTGATTTACTCACCTATTCAATTGTTGCTCAGTTCTGGAGCACTATCCATGAATGAAAATTGTTAGATTTAATATTAAAGTCCTAACATAAATAGGTAAACTTAAAAAAAAAAAGGCTTAAAATTTTCACTTAAACAGACCTTTAGGTAAACATTCACTTATGACTTCAGTCCTTGAATAGGCGAACTTCAGCTGTAATGAAATGCAAATAACTATGTTAATGCAAATGTTAAGGCTACAATTCAAACATAAAAAAGTCAAGAAATACAAAAGTTAAGGTTCTCCTAGAAACATTAACTCACTCAAATTGTACATATAGAATATTTCCAATTACACAGAAGACAGCAAAATGTGATCCCTTAATGTGCTATATGTGCAACACTGGTAAGTTAATGCTGTTATGAGGACGTTAAATTTTACAACCCCTGACTTTGTTTTAAAAGTTACTGCCTGAATACTGCATTATTCCCAACTGCATGGCGCTATTTTCTTAAAATAGAAAGAAAACAGAAGAGGAATGAATGCCATTATATTTTCCATCAATATAAGATTCCAACCTTACACTCTATTTTGGTTAGTGAATGAGATCAAAATATGTTTGGAGTTATTCTGAAATTTTTTTCAGTTCAAAATATCTCTACTTTTCATAGATTAACTGAATAGTGCATTGAGATATTCTAGGTTACACATTTCTATAAGTAAATAATAAATATGTGTACTTGTTATTCATGTATAAATGTAAATTACACAAATAACAAAAATTCAATTCATAAAGAAGACTTTTTTATAAAACACTGGTTTAGAGGACAAATAAATCAAATGATTAAAAAAAAAAAACAGAAGTCCATGATATTTCTTCCCTTGATCTGGAACCAAAAATTCTTTTTTAGTATAATTTTTTTCTGAGCCATTCTTCCTTCCACTTTTGGAGGAAAATGTAGAGTCTTGTTTAAGAAGAAACAAAAGCTGAAAAAATATATGTCATGATTTATTTTCAAATTTAACTAGCATTTCTGTTATAAATATTGGTGCAACAAAATGTTTCATTAATTACATCAGGTTGAACTGGACAAGTCTGTCTTAATTAAATTTTGATGTTGCAGAAATTAGAGAAATGAAAGAAGAGTAATAGATGTGCAAACCAGAAAAATCTGCAATCATGTTATTAGTAGTGATCATCGGTGAGAAAAAGGGTCCTGTGCTTCATTCAGGGTCTCCCAGTGTCATCTTTGTCGTTCAGTAAAAGAGACGCCACATTACCCCAGGCCCATAAAGGATGGAGAGTTTAAACCTGGGAAAAAAAAAAAAAAGAGCAAGGAGAAATGAACAAAGCCCCAAATCCACACTCTACCTGCAGCATACAATGTTCTAGATTGATTACTCATTTCCAGTTCTTTGCTGGAAAGCCCTTGATTAGTGCAATTTTCGACAGTGTTAGTATCCCATTAAGCAGGTTCTCTTTAAAAATTTGTCAAGATTTTGAACTCCCAACATTAACCTGTATTTTCTTGTCTTCTGACGACAATTATTCAATCAGACTTCTTTTGTAAAGACTGCAAGATAAATACCTCTGCAGCCTGAAAACCGTAGTGTCATGCTTGAGCAGCCTGATCTTAGACTTTATGCTACAAATAAATTGGTATGTTCTTAAATAATTACCAGGCAGTTTGTCTGTCACCTCTTCCCAATGGTTGAAATACCTAACATTATCTCCACCATCGAAGCAGAGCTCCCTAGTCCCTCCCAGGCCTGTTGTTCTCTCTTTGCAAGATAGTTCCATCCTCAGCACAGAGGACCTGCGGTTAGAACAGGGCTGGGACATAGAAACTCAAGCCCTGCACAATCTACTTGACCTCTTTGTTCTTTGTCCATAAAAATCAGTGTCACCCTATGGACTGACTGACCTTCCAGGGTTTCTAGTTTATATTTATCAGAAATTATTTATGCCTGGGAAATCCCAAAATAAAAAAATCTCAGTTTTGTATCATTTGTTAATCTCTCACCTGTTTGTATGCTTCTCCCCTCAGCTTTAAGCCTGGGCTTTTTTGAATGTTTGTGGCAGCACATTTACAAAATATTCATCATAGGATAAAAGAATTAATACCATATTGTTTAGAATGGTTCAAGGGTTGTTGCAATTCAAAAGGCTTAAATTGATGTTAAACGTGGAGATTTCACAAAATAGAGGCAAACAACACATGAATGAATAAATAAAGGAATTAATAAACAAAGAGGCGGGGGAAAAATCCTTTTCCTCCAGTTTTAGTTAGAACTGCTATTTTTTACAGCTAACTGAAATATTTCAACATTTGAAAAACATCAAACAGCTAGAATTCATAAGTCTGAGAAGGGGAAAAGAAAGCACCTTGCTAAAGTGAAGTAAGTTCAGCATTTGCAATGTAATTCAAATTGCACTTGTAATTCAGGTCCTGGAATTAACCCACTCAACCAAAGCTTGAAAAGATTTAGATTTACTCAGACTAGCCACAATACAATGCTGCCTTACAATTGCACAACCACCCTGTCTTTTGGTGATACATCCAATACACTCTAAATTATAATTCTAAAACTCAGTTTGTTGTTAAAAAAAAAATCTGTGCATCATATCAGAGTCTGTCTTGTTGCAATTTAAAAGGAGGAGGGAGGACTCACAACCAGTTTTAATCGGGCTAGAATAACACCTGAGCCCTTCCTATAAACACTTTTTTAAAATAATTTTTACCACAATTTTTAACAGAGAGGTGAATTTGGAATAGAATTCTTGTATTTTCAGCCCATTGACTACAATGAAAAGAGTAACTTTCAAGGCATTGTGGTGCTCAGGGTACAATTCAGGTCATCAAGCTGTCATTTTATTTTTCCAAAGTTGATCCACCAGGGAGTCAGCTCATGGAAGGTGGGAGGAGGAATAGGTTGGGGAGATAGATTCATGTGGAGATGGATTTGTGGCAATGCATATTTAGATTGCCATGAAAGTTATTTGAAGGTTTTCCATGCAAGCATTTTACCTTGATAACAGTTCAAAATATCCAGCAAAAGTTTTTGTTGTTGTTGTTTGGGTATTAAAAAAAAAAAAGTAAAAGAAATGTCTACCAAGAAGATCTAATTTCCTTTTTTCATGATGGACATCTTCTGAATAATAGAAAGCAACTAAGTTAGCATTATGATATAACAAAAAACAACATCAAAAAATTTTGTAAATGTTTACAGCATGTCTTAAATGGAAATTGTTTATTTTCTTGCACTAGCACACAAAAGTAGAGAAAATGTTAGTGTTGGTGAGGAAAAGTCAGAATGGTACTTACCTACCAGACACCAACCAAATTAGAAATGCAGAGGCAATGTCCTGAAGGACGTGTCACAGTTATGTATTGTTATTTTTTTTTTATTGTTGGTCTTTCAAAACATTACATCTTTCTTAATATATCATGTTTCACAATTTGATTCAGAATGGTTATGAACTTCCATTGTTACCCCATATACAGATTGCTGAATCACATCGGTTACATCAGTTACATTTCCACTGATTTACACATGTTTTGTTATTTTAAAGAACAGCAAGGCAACGTGTTCATGATATTCCAAAAGACTGACACTTGGTAGTATAAGATGCCTGCACCTTGTAAATCAATTCTTTGGTGAAGAGAAAGACCTCCAATTTGATAAACCAGTGGAGTTGCATATTTATTTAGCTTAGTACTTTCATTCTATTTAAAACATTTATTAACCAGAAAGACATCGGTGACGTCTAAATTTCATATTCTATGCCCTGTAGATTAAGATACATCTGTTTCAGTCATCATTCAGGAAAGAATTTTAATGCATCATTTTATTTTTAAAAATTTATGTCAAAAAAAAAATTATGTCAGGCATTCTGTCTGATGAGAACAGGCCAGTGGCTTGCACATAATACTAGCAGGGAAGCTTCTCTTCCAGAACTTTATCCAAATTGAGAAGAATCATGTTCCTAAAAAGTCTGCTGGAGGCCAAGTCACTCTGGCTCTGGGCATGGTTACTGACAGTGAGTTACTGAAACACCAGGTGAAGTGTTCTTTGTTAAGCTTGATCTGTGATGTCCTAGTCTTTTCATGATATACCATAATTAAAATATTACAGATCTTCTTCCAGTGGATTTTGCACTTATATTAAGGCAAAATATTTAGGAACTCATTTTTGAACTGTGTATTTAATGAACTTTTTTTCCTTCTAATTATGTGCAGTGTAGTTTAAGAGCAAATGGTGTTTATACAAAATGTCTAGAATAGGCGATGCTAAAGACACAGAAAGTAGCTTGGTGGTTGCCTGAGGACTGGGGTGCAGGAATGATGGGGGACAGAGAGTGACTGCTAATGGATACAGGGTTTCTTCTGTGAATAATGAAACCACCTAAAATTGATTGTGGTGATCTCTGTACAACTCCGTAAATACATTTTAAAACCATTGAAATAAACACTTTTCAGTAGGTGAAATATATGATGAGGTGAATTATATTTTATTAACAGTTTTGTTACCAAAAAGAAGGAGAAAAAAAAAGAGTTCAACCTCCCCCTAAGGCCTGACCTGAATCTCCTCCTTTAGGAAAAGCTTACCTGTCTGAGGAAATGGTATATGAAAAAGTGGGAGGGCAAAGAGGTAGGGGATAGTGTTAGGTTCCCAGACAGATTTGAATATTTTAACTCCAAAAGTCAAGGAGTGGGTACCTAGGGAGAGGTTGAGGATGTCAGAGAAGATTATGGAAAGGAATTGCCTGAGCGCTTCTATCTTACTTTAAAGTTGCAGAGAGAAGCAAGGGGGAAAAATAACACTCCTAGTAGTTGAAGGTTAATGATAAAGGCATCCAGTTCTAATTAGGTGCTTATTTTAGTTTTTTTTTTTTATCTTGTTCTAATTGCATATTCCATACAGGAAATCTTGTAGCTTTGACCTATGTTTATGTTTAGTTGTTTTAATAAAGAGTTCTGGTTTTCTTTAGACTGTTAATAGTCCATTGGGGAAAACCAGTCAAATCATTTTTTTTTTTCTTTCTCTTGAAAGACTAGCCGACTGACCACAACCATGGTGGTCATGCCTCTTAAGCACCACAGGTCCCTTCACAGCAGCACATTTTTCTATCTAAAAGACATCTACAGCCTTAAGCACTGGCCTAACAATCCCCACCCTGTTATGTGAAGACAAATGCTATTGGGGCATTTGAAAATCAATTTGAAATGAAAATCAAAACTGTTAACGAATATCTTTTGCAACAGCTAACTGAAAATGACTTTGATAATATACCAAAAGAAGTTGAATTCCCAGATTGAAGAAGGTCCATTGCATGTAGATCGTGTCCATGTTGATAGTGGCACATGCCCACATCTGCTCAGATCATAGGGAACCTAGAGACACTGCTAAATGCAGAACTAATCATAATTCCACATCCTTTTGAGGTACGTAATTCCACATCCCTTTTGAGGTTCAGAATCTTTCTTTCTCTGCTTCCTTCTCAAGTTGTTTCTCAACCCTGGGAACAATGAAAGAGAAATGAACTGTACTATCAAAAGCTTCTCATGAACAGAGGGTAGTAGTACACACCAGTAATCCCAGTGCCTTGGGAGGCTGAGGCAGGAGGATCACAAGTTCAAAGCCAGCCTTAGCCACTTAAAGAGGCCTTAAGCAACTTAGCAAGATTCTGTCTCAAAATAAAAAACAGAAAGGGATAGGGATGTGACTCAGTGATTAAACACCCTGGTTTAATCCCCAGTACCAAAAAAATAAAACTAAAAAAGCTTCTCATGAGCCAGTCCTACACTAAGTGCTTAAAATGCAGGATTGCCCCTCTATGGGCAATCAGCCACCCACACAATGTCTTTCTCATTTGGGTCCTCGTTTCAGGCATCTTTTCATTAATCTTTCAGCAACTTAATATGATAAGTATAATTATTATCAATTTGAATACACAGATGAAGAAAATGAACTAGACTAAGTAGCTTGCTGAGGATCAGATATAGCAAGAGGTGGGTCCTGGATAGATGCCCAGAAGTGTCTGATGCCCACACCCATGTTCTCAACCACTACACCCTTCTGCTCATTAACCAGAAAGCCCAGGCTTCATGTTGATACAAGCAGAGGGCAACTGGAAGAGGGATGAAGCCCCCAGGAAACTGGGAAACAAAGAGAAGCTAGGAGGTGGCCAGAAGCTCCAAGCTATAGAAAGTTTTAAGAGGGTACTAGAAAATTAAGTGACACTCTGCATTATTCCTACTTGGTGCCATCATTCACACCATCTCCAGGCTTTCAGGACTAGAAAATTAGGACTTCTTTGACTGTTGTGGTTGAAAAATGCATTGTTTCACCATTTCTGAAGTTTCATCTTTTCTGAGCACATTCTTTCTACTCTTATTTTCAATTAATGTTCTCATTCCTTCAATATTTATTGAGTTCTTACTATCTACTACACTCACTTCTAGGCACAAAGGATACAAAAGTGAATAAAACAGAGACTTGCTTATCATATGTCTTACATTACAGTGGAGTCAGATCATAAAACTAGAAAATATATATCTCATCCTGCCAACTGCCCCAGCTCACAAGCACTATCTAACCTATGGTGAATTCTTAGGTGGTCCAAGGGCCAATGGAAATTTAGAAACAGATCTAGAATCCAATCACAAATATGTGGGAACCACCTTCATAACAGAGCCATGAGGCTAGAGTTTCTTAAGTCCATTTCATGAACCTATTTTTAAAAGCTGACACAAGAGCTAATTCTTGTGAATTCTCAAACCTACCTATTCCAATTAATTTACACTGATTGACATAATCACTGTTATGGTTTGGATATGAAGTGACACCCCCCCCCCGAAAAGCACCTGCATTAATGCAGAAATGTTCAGGAGTGAGATGATCAGATTATGAAAGCAGTAACCTAATAAGTGGATTGATCCACTTGATGGATTAATAATTTGAATGGACAAATTGAGTGGTTACTGTAGTCAGGTAGGACATGGCTAGAGGAGTAGGTCACTGGGGGCATACCTTAAGGGTTTATAATTTATCCCTGGCACCATGTTCTCTCTTTCTTTGCTTCCTGATGATCATGAGTTAAGCAGCTTTCCTCCTCCATGATCATGGAAGAACGTCGTCCATGATATTCTGCCTCACTTAGGCCTGGAGCAATGGAGTTGGCCAGCCTTGAACAGAACCTCTGAAACCATGAGCCAAAATAAACTCTTCCTCCTTTAAATTGTTTTTTGTTCAGTATTTCGGTCACAGCAGGAAAAAGATGACTAACACAATCACCACCTGTGATAGATTTCAATATATCATTAAAGCTTCTTCTGATTTCCTTTTTTGTTGTTTTTTGGTTATTTTGTTTGTTTGCTTTTACTTCTGAATCTGTTGGTTATTGCACTCAAAAACAACTGATCTACATTGTTTCTCATCGTTAAATGTAAATGCACCAGTCTTCTAAGAATTAAAAGGTAATGAACACATTAACTCACTTCTTAAAGAGACAATCATCCCAAGCTTAAAAGAGATGATGTCAATACTGTGGCAAGGGAGAAAATTTATAAGTAAATGGTAGATGGAAAATGTTTGCATCCAACTCTTTCTCTTTAAAAAGTGAATACGGAAGTCTATTTATTACAGAACAGAAATAATTTGTTATTTTCTATGCAATAGTCATAAAAAAATACTGTTTTCAAAATGTATGGACAAAGACAAATCACTAGATTTATGCAACTATATCTATTATCAGGAAAGCCTAAAAAAATTGAAAGTCCACTTCCTTAAAAACTAAATACACTAAAATTGAGAGCCTGTATGAATAAGAGAAGAGTTTTTCATGGTTTCCTTCTCTTGCCATCCTTCACCCCACTTTCAGTTAAAGAGAAATTTTAGTGAAAAACTTCAATTAAGAAAAGATGCTACAAGTTCATTTTTATAACACAGCAAAATTAGCATTTCAAAAAATAAAAGCATATTTTTGAATGAATAAAGACCTACTCAAGGATCTGAATTTATATAATAAAAGAAGAAATTCAATGGAATAAGGTTATTAACTTATTAATAGTTTAGTGAAAGATTAAAAAGTTGCTTTTGAAATTTTACAAATCAATTATTTTTCAGTTAAAGTTTAAACCAGACCTTATACTCAAAATCAAAGTTTTTTTTATTTTATTTTATAGAGTGAGATCAAAATCCAACTGTTCATGTTTGGAACCAATTAAGTTACATTTTGAAGGCACAAGAGATATTCTTGCTTTTTAAAATTTAAAGGTGCTTCATTAAATGATACTTTAGGCAGCTTTCCTATTTTCAATAAGTTACATTTGCTAAAAACCATAATGAGAAGACGTTTTTGATAAGAAGGCATGTATCTCAATTGAAGGGTCGCTTCACTGAACAGATGAGAGAAAAGTTAAAACATCTAGTCCAAAGTTGTACGCTTTTGTTTCTAGAAATGGAAATGTCTCTGAACTAAGTTCTTAGAGGATTTTTAGTAAGATAATGATACAATTCATTTTGACCAAATAGGTTAAAAAATGTACAACTACCCTCACCCTTGGGCCATAGGCATTTTGATTTAATGACAAAAAAATAAGGTGTAATTTCACTCCATGGTTTAATTCAACTTTTCATAATAGCTAACAGTTGAGCTCCTTCTCATCAGGCACAAGTAGGGAGACTGTGCATTTCCTTGTTTAATCCTCAAAACCATTTCATCCCCAGTTTTCAGGTGAATCTCTCCCTGAAGGACAGCAGATTATCCCCTCACCTGGCCCCAAGATCCCTCAACTATAAACACATTGTGGTCCCCCTATTTCCAGAGGCTTCTCTTAATCATTGACCTACATTCTCAGGTGAGCAAAGGAAATCACTGAATGTCTTTCCTTCTTTGTCAAAACAGACCAAACGTGAACCAGCTGCATATCAAAAAAACTCACCACAAACATTCTTATAATTTATGAAGGACAGTTAAAATTTATGACAGACCCCACCAAAGCAATCAATGGGAATGTGAGCTGCAGCTGAAAGACAGAATGGGCATCTTAAAGCATCATTAAAAAACAGGAAGAAAGAACAACAATGAAGAAGGAGAACAAAGGCTAATAATTTTTAAAGTGGGGGTAGTTTTTTAAACACCACAATTATCACAACTTAATTTCTCTTTTTCCTAGCTGTGAGCTAAAACAACGTACGGTGGTGATATTTGGGGTTTGTGCTTCGGAAATTTCCATGGACACATTAGCTTAGATGGTTTCATTACCCACCCTCATTATTAAGTAGCATTCAATTACTGAGTGTTGTAATGCCAAAGAGCATAAAAGAGAGACAAAATCTCGGTAAGATCTAAGGGTAAAATGGCATTTTTATATTGCTATAAAGATTACTTAACTCTAGTGCAGTACTAATGATCATTTCTGTGACTAAAAACATCCCCTTATGATTAATTATGTAAACTCTCATCATTTCAAGCCCAATAAAGACTTTAAAACATTTTTCATGCATCTTGTAGTCCCAGAATTTTTTTTTTCCATTAACCCATAGAAGAATCAACTCTAAGGATTAAAGTAGCTATTTTCCATTACATTAAAATGGTGTTTCGGGGAATATTTAGACATACATGTACAACTCAGATAAAATACATGTGCGGGGGAGAAACATTTTGTATTCTTTACAAATGTTTGTTTATGTTCTTCATTTTCTTGTAAAAGGCATGCAGTCTCACATGGGAAGGAATATTTCAATAATGAAGTCTTACAAATTCAATATCTTTGAAAACTAGAATACATAATAAAAAATCACCTCTGAATGTTAATTGCAGTTTTGTTTGTATCATCAATAAAATGGGGAGAGGGTCGCTACTGTTCAAAAGTAAGGGATTGTTTATAATGGAATAATAAGGTAGTCATTAAATGCCAGGCTACATATAAATGCTTGTTAAAATAGAAAGATGATACATTATTTTATAAATAAAAGTCATAAGGCAATATCATAAAATGACCACTATTCAAATATACATATATTTGAATATATATGTACACATACACCACATGCATCTTTGGCTAAAAGATATAGAAAAAGGCATTAACAGAGTTGATATCTAGGTGGCAAGATCACAAATGATCTTAGGGTTTTTCCTGTTTACTAAAATTGTTCTCTCTAATGAACATTGTTTACTTTTGCTTATGATAAAGAAATGTGAAGAAAAAGAAATAAAAATATCCTCTCTTGCTGAAAGTGATCAGAGTCTGAAATTTGAGATATTTCTTAGATAACATCCCATACTTATGAAAATTGGTTCAAAGTTACACCCAAGTGACAAAGCCTCCATGTTAGCCACTCCCAGATCTTGGAGCCTTTTCTCCAGCTGGATAGGTTGAAAGAAGACAGACAGCTAACTGCTCACAGTCCCATGGGCAGGGATCGCCCTGGCTGCCCAGTGGGAACTGTGGCAAGGACCAGTAGGGTGTAAAGTCCTTATCATTATTATGCCACTTTGAAAGAGCTGAAAAG